CTTCCTTCATGCTCCCACAAGGGCTTCTCTAATAAACTTCTTGCATGCAAGTCTCCAATTTAGAGTTTGCTCTGGAAAATCTGGTCTGTGACTATATTATCTCCAGAGCTGCATAAAGCCAAGACATGTAAGTCCATGGCCAACAGGTAAATTCCTACGAAAGTGGTTGCAGAATTACAACCAGGTATAGGGAGGATGGCAAGTAAATTCAAGCTCCTGAGAGGCTGCAGAGACGGCAGATGACAGAGGGGCTAGATGTAAGAACTGTCCTTCAAGGGCAAGATTTCAGTCCTTAAGAAAAATGAACTGGCAGTTGGTAGCCTCAGGCATGAGTGATCCAGATTCCTAGGCAAGTCAGGTGAGTTAGGTATAAGAGAACAAGAAATAAAAAGAGAGAACAGCTGCTACTTCATAGGGCAGCCTGCCTCATGCAGAGAGTCGAATGTTGGAAATGGAAAGTAAGGCACAATGCAGTAAGCAAAATGGTTAGAGAAGCTGAGCCCCAGAGCTCTAGATCTACCATCTATCCTGCTAGTGGGATTATTCCACTGAGTTTAGGCAGAGCCTGTAAGGGACAGCATCATGAAACTCTGGGACTAAAGGATTGATGGCAGCAACTGGGCTTTAAACCTCGACAGGACTTGATATTTGTCAAGATAGATGTCCCTAAGATATAGGGTTGTGTGGTTCTTTCTATGCCCACTCTCTCCTGTGCTCAAACAAAATCTTATCCAAATACCTTGACATTCTACTGCTCTTTCCTCTGATCAACTTTAAAATTATCATCATCTGTTATTGGTGTGAAGTCTTCCTTTACTGTAACTCCTTTCTATGGCTCTTTGATGTCTCAACATAACTTAATAGATACTTAATACTTTATTAACTTGATAAAGCAATAAATAAAAATATAAATGAGATTGGCTGAGCCTAAGAAGGTGGGATTGATGGCACACTCCCCCATTCACCTCCTAAATAAATATTCTGAACAAATCATGGTTTAGAAATAAAAACTTCCATCCCATATCTTGCCCCTCTGACCTTCACCCTAATTTGAAGATGTTTGTCCTGGGAGGTCTTCTTCCAGATGCAGCCCTCAGCATCCTGTGACATTCATTTTGCCATCTTGGTACTTAGAAAACTGAGAACAAAAAAGCAAATGCCACACATCAATCAGAGGAAAAGTAAAGACAGTATTTCATGACAAAAGGTCCTAGTTTTCTATCAGTGACTTTATTTAATTAAGAAATGTAGATGTCTAAAGAACATAAGACAGAAATTTTAAACTTTGAATCCAGGCCACTGTTATCTAAGTGTCCAGATAGCTCACCGATTACAACTGAGGTCATGCATAATATATTACGATGACTCTTTGAAATAGACAGCTAAAGGCACGGACATTATTTCCAGAAAGCTGTTATTTTTTTTTTAAGGTTACTCGAAGGGAGTATAGGCCTTCAAAAACCATATATTTCTCTCTTGGTCATCTCCAGTTTGGCCATTAGCACACTAATTGTATCATATTAATTGATTATCATTTTACAAAGAATAGATCCTACTCTAGAAGTTTGGATAAAAATTGAAACTTTCAGAACAAAAACATAGTTATAACTTTAAATTTGTAAGGTTCAGCCAGGTTTTAATTACATTCTATTATCAAACATATTCTGATGTGGGCTTTGATTGTTATCTTAGTGTTCGATTGTTATGTTAAGATTTGGAAAGGATATTCACAAGGATATTTAATCGTCAGTCATCTAGTTTCCATGA